TGAGTGTGTTGCAGAAGGGTCCCACACATAAACTTAAGTCTAATTCTGGGTAAAGCTGGACATAGACACAGCAGGTGTTCTTGTGTTCCTTCTTCGAGAGCTGATAGACACGCATTGCAGAAGATACCATAGAGTAGGCCAAGCCTAGCTCCATGCTCTCCTATAGTTCAGTGCCCCATAATAATATTAATGTAATACAATAATATTAACCTAGATACCTCTGATTTGCTTCTGTGTATTAGGTTAGAGGTTCTACATTTAGAATAGAATGGTAATGTAGTCCTTGACCTGACAGCTGAGGCCGCATGGACCCATTGTCGCAAAAAATGGTGATAAATCAACCTCCGAGTAATCAATTTTTTTTGCAGCCAAATTTTTTCCATAGATCAGTTTATGGTTCCTAGTTGGTAGTAGCTGGAAATAGGATTCAAAATATACAGTGAATGGATGAGCATTTCAAAGTGCAGTTCGTACAATTTTGCCATCCTTATGATAGATCTATCACATGATGTGTTGTCTTCAAAGACGTTTTGCATGAAAGTAAGCCCGTCTTGCCCCCGTCTCCATCCCTATCGCGATCCATTAATACGAAACTCAAAATCTCACTAGTTGTACTTTGTGCTTTTAGTCGCTTTGGATAGATTTTGTCAGCTGACTGTCGATTTAAAGCTCGAGTCTAGTGATAAATCTTCGACACATCACATGATAATGAAAGTAAATCTTCGTTGTCATATGCTGTATGATGGAAATATTCAAAACTCTGTTGCTTTATTCCACCAGTAGAAAATGTATATATTCATTTTGAACACACCTTTCGTGGCGTCATCTACACATGTATATGTCATCTTACACACTAATCGAATGTTGCAATATTTTCAATTTAGTTTAAAAAACATGATTAGTTTTTTTTTTTTTTGAACTGAAACTGTAGTAACAAGACATCCCAATTTTAAATTAATTTTATCAGTTTATTTATTCAGATTTCAATTTTTGCACTTAACGATGAATTATAAATTTTAGTCTCACAGGATGAGCACCAGTACTATACACCAAAAAATTTATAAAAATAACAATATAATCCGGAATACAGGACTATTTAACTTATTGACAGATGAGTAATACAATGACTCTCAATATTTTAATTCATTATTAGAGAGTTTGTGACAGAGACAACACTCTTCAACATTTCATAATATCTTATTAAGTTAGTCACCATAGGAGAGGCTGTACCCTTAGTCGGAAGGTTACCACTCTAGTATTGGACTATTTAACTTATCGAGAGACGAGTAATACAATGACTCTCTACTCACTATCACAGAGTTTGTGACAGTAGACGTAGAAATTAAGACAACACTCTTCAGCTTCATCTTATTATCTAACTAAACGTAGGAGAAGCTGTACCTTTAGTCGGAAGGTTTCCCACTATAGTATTGGAATATTCAACTTATCAAGAGACGAGCAATACAATGACTCTCTACTCACTATAACAGAGTTTGTGACAGTATACAAAGAAATTAAGACAACACTCTTCAGCATTTCATTATATCTTATTATCTTAGTCACTGTGGGAGTGGCTGTAACCTTAGTCGGAAGCTTGCCACCACAATATTGGAAACTGAAACTCTTTGATAAGTAAAAAGTTCTTAAAAGTATATTGCTACTTCATCTATTTTCGAACTTTCGAAAATCCATGTAATGAATATTTTATTTATTAAAACATATTACTTTTGTTAGTTAGAAAAACATTGGAATGAATAAGAGCACTCTATCTCCATTCCAAGTTTCCAATAATTTTATCAGGTCTATAATTTATCACGAATTTACACAGATTCTTGAAATTTCGCTATTAAACGTAAAGAATAATACGTAGCTATTTTTATAACACCTGGTAATATTCGTATGAACCGCTATATATATTCGTTACTCTTTACTTCCCCTGCGATATTTCTAAAGAGAATAGTTACTACAATTTCTAGAGAGTATTATTGGGTGCGTCATGCAAGATAAATCGAAAACCTTGCGAGATCAGTTGGATACTCTTGGTCGCTAGTTTTTTAACTATTTAATTTCTAATCCTTTTTTTTAAGCAGTAAGCAAGTAAGGACAACACCGACGGGTGACTTCTTGTACGATTTAGGGTATAGTATAACTTCTATGAATCGATCGTTAATTAATTGGTTTTAGTATGTAGAGTTGTCATTATGTTATAGGTCACTTTTTAATTACACTTATCAAATCCTAAAAATGATATTTGCAAAACACATAAAACAATAATATATGCATTCCTATTTCATCACTCCATATCGGCAGTTAATCCATCATATCAGTAACTAAAATTATAATGATGCTGTCTGTATTTCTCGATAATATATGTGTGAAGGGTGTTTAAGCTTCGACAAGGCCAAATTTTTCTAATTTTTTGTATTTATTTTTGTCTTTTACATTCACTTAAATTTTTATCGACATTATTTTTTGACATTAGTTGTTTTTATCGTAGCGTTTTTTTTTACATTTGATAACTAATTGCTTGCATAATCGGAATATGAAATATGAAATAATGCCATTAGCCGCTTTCAATTAATACTTTTACTTATCAAATAAATTTTTATTCAATAAAATTACAAAACCTGAAGTAGTGATGACTTTTTCTTCACTTGTTTGCGTGCTTAACTTTTTTAATAATACTTGTCCCCACATAAAATTGATTACATTTTGTGGTGTTAACAATTTTTGTAATTACTCACAATCTACTCATTATATATATTGTTTTATAGGCATTGTATATATGTCTAGATATCGCACGCTACATACAAATATTGAGAACTGAGTAAATGCCATTATTTCTATAAAGAATCACACTCTCGCTTCTATAAAGTATTCTAATTAATTTCTGTCACCAGGGACTTTGTGGTTTGTGCTTGTCATTCTGCCTATCAGTCGTTCAATAAATTTTATCTAGAATTATAATATTGCAGACCTAAACTTTGTTTACATTAAGTTTTTGTTCAACTTTCTAAATGAAATCAGTAGAAATCAGTACATCTACTATAAGCTCAACAGATTAGTGAATGAATTATTCTGGAACATTCTATAAAAGGAAAGAGTAATTAATTTTAATGAATAATAATCAGATACTATCGAAGCAACATTAGGTTGGTGTGGCGACCTTGTGTACCAAGAAAGCCCACTTGAGCTCATATAACGGCTCAATGCGGTACCACAAGAATAGCGATGGTTCGTACGTAGACTAGGTGCTCATTATACGACCAATGCAGAAAGAATGCAACGATTCTCCCATTAGGTGAATGTAAACTAACCTGATAAATCTATGAATTTGGTTAAGTCCCTAATATTACAGTACAGCTCAATCAGATCGGTAAACAAAGTGGTCCCAAGATTTTTAATGTTCTCCTAGCTAAAGATAGGCACTGATACATAAGATAAAACACAGTTTCCTCCTCGTCCTCAGAGTCACAGCCGCGACAAAGGTGGTGATAAGAAAGATCTAGTTTCATACCATGCCTCCCAATTGTGCAGTGACCCGTCAGCAGCGTTGCCGAGCAAATTCTCATCCTTTCATCTGCAAATTCTCGTAATTTGTTATGATTCAATACAAACTTAATGGATATCGAATATCCATTATATTTATTGTGATCAAATCTTTCGTGTTTTTATTTTTTGTTTTGTAAACATACAAAGTTAAACTATATTAGCTATCTGTCGTGGTTGTTGTCTCCAAGTTTTTCTACTTCTCTTAATTCTACATCGAATATCCATAGTAATACCTAAAACTATATTAGATACCAACATAACACTTATCTATATCGGCTATCTATCGCCGTTGTTATCTCCTAGTTTCTCTATTTCTCTTAATACTATATCGAATATCCATACTTTATTAGACACCAACGCAGCAGTTATCTATATCGACCATCTGTCGTGATTTTATCTCCAAGTTTTTCTATTTCTCTTAATTCTTTATCGAATACCCATTGTAATATCTAATACTTTATTAGATACCAACATAACACTTATCTATATCGGCTATCTATCGGCGTTGTTACTCTATTTCTCTTAATTTTTTATCGAATATCCATTGTAATACCTTAATACTTTATTAGGTACCAACACAACACTTATCTATATCAACTATCTATCGGCGTTGTTATCTCCTAGTTTTTCTATTTCTCTTAATACTATATCGAATATCCATTGTAATACCTTAATACTTTATTAGGTACTAACACAACACTTATCTATATAGACTATCTGTCGTAGTTATTATCTTCAAGTTTTATTTCTCTTATTTAGTTACATATCAACAAGAAGCCTATCTACATCGACCATCCATCGTGATTGTTTTTTTTTTTCAACATAAAGTTCAACTGTATAGATTGTTCAATAGTATTTTCGACTCGTCCGTTACCCTGTATTTTTAGACTATATATAGATATATAGTGTATTATGTTATGCTCCTTACAAGAACTAAATAATCGATTTATAATTTTTTCTATTGAAGTAACTAACAATTTATACACTGTAATTAAAAACCTTGCTAATAGTTAGCAATCCTAAAAGTATGCTAAAAGAGTTCTTATAGATACTTTACTTATATTATCTCTGAGTTTTTGTTGTTGTTGTTGTTGAGGTTGTTGTTTTTTTAACTAAAATTGGTTGTAAAAATTTTTGTATATATTATTTTTTTTGAACAACAAAGATAACTTAACGCATAGCCCGAGCTGATATTCTGAGAAAGGCATTGCGTTGAGTAAGGCATCTGCCTACACCTGTGGAAGTGACGAGCGGTCTCTCAACTCTCAACTCGGCGTTCTCAGCTGAGGCTTATCAGTGTGCAAACTTAACAATTTTATCTGAGCGAACAAAAGTAAATAAATAAATAAAATAAAAAAAAAAAAATAAAAAATAAAAAAATTAAAAAGAAATAAAATAAAAATGTTGTTGGTTGTACCTTACAAAACAATTCGTTTAATGTTGTATATACTTTCTTATATTAATGAACACAATAACTGGTAAAGAGAAAAAAGGCAAAGAATTGCCTTATCGTGACGATATCTCAAAAACAAAACTAAAGTAGAATTGGAATTATTTCATCGCATTTTTGTTAATTACACCAAGCAAAGCGTAAAAGTCGAGCGTTAAAAGTTAAGCGTTAAGAGCGCAGCGTAACGCAGGCAGGGCCACTCACGGTACTTAAATGATTTTCAAACCTAATTGAAAGCACATCGGAAATTAATATAAAATATAATTAATAATTAAGAAAATTAATTGAAATTTATAGAGTAATTAGAATTCATACAATTAAGTTAAAAGTATTTAAAACAAATGATTTATCATATATTTTTCACAATTTTTCAACGACAGGTTTGTCTCGAAAACGCGGATAGCTAAGTGCAAATATTGATATTAGCATATAAAGAGCGGAACTAATGATTAAATAGCGGAGTTGCAGGCGGTTAGCGGTCTGGGAAGTATCATAGGGGCAGCTAGTAGTGTCGCACGGCACTACGACTTTTCAAACAAATCAAGTAAACACAAGTTAACGTCAAATAGAAAACTGAATACTGATACTGAAATACTGAAATACTGAATAAAATTCAATTTGAATAATAAAAACAATAATATTTGCAATAACAAAAACGATTTCAAACAAGTAACGAGTAAACAACAACAAGTTACATATAAAAAAAAATAGCTGCCAACTAAAAATATTTACTTGCAAGCGGTAAGCGGTAAGCATTAAGCAGTTTATATTAAGCACCAAGCGGTAAGCGGCTACCGCGCTAATCACAGACGAAACTAAAACTAAACTCTGAAGTCATTCGCATCAACTGTCGCAGACGAAGTGACAAGCAACAAAAACAAACAAAAAAAAAAATAATAATAATAATAATAAAAATATTAATAAAAAATTAAATTGAAACAAAAACACAAGATTGTATAGTGAAGAGCAGATTTGTCAGTTGGCGTAGATTTCTAGATTTCTAGATTTCGTGGTCAACGCAGTGGAGCAAAGATACTATTCAATAACTATTCAAACAAAAAAAAAAAAAAAATAAAAAATTTCTATAAAAAATTTAATTCTCATAAAAAAATAACTAAAGTAAATAAAAAATAATAATTAATTCACGCTAACAGCGAGCAATAAAATTATTAACTGAACATTCAACGGCCGCCCAAAATTAGCAGCTGATAAAGTTAAATATTGTTAGTACTTAATCTGCTACTCAATCAGGCGGTGAGGCAGTAAGCCAGTAAGGCAGTCAGACGTCTACAACTAGTTAAGCGCTTCCATGCGTTCTTCTATTTGAACGAGCATTAACCGACATTCATACAGCGACTATACAGCAGCGACTACAACAACTAATAAGCAGCGCATCTTCACTGGAATTGGTAACGTCGCATACGCATTCATATTTTCACCCGCAATCGCGCAACTACTTCGCCCGTTCTACTCTTTGCTAGCAGTTCTCGGCTAGAAGTTAGCATAAGCGTAATCGTTTGGTAAATATTTGGTAGCGCCAACAAAATGTGCCGCTGTTGTCAAAAGTGAGTACAGATTCTTAATAGATTTCCTTTTTAACACATTTTTATCAATATTTTCGTCTTGAGCGATTCTCTAAATCGCTAGAACGCAATTTTCTTTTCTTCCATTATTCTCACCATTATTCTCACTTCTATCCTCTCTCCTAGCCTCTCTATCCTCTCACATATTAAATATCTCATTTCCTTTGCGATTTTCTTTGTGCGCTTTAATTAATTTGCATTTACAGTTGCTGGGAAGATTTCTATTGGAATTGCATAGAGGAACGGTTCTGTTATGATGAGTCAATTGGTGAGTACAAAAAAAAAAAAAACAGAAAAATTCAAATAAGAACTATAAATGGGCGTCTTCAAAACGAACTTGGTAACTCAAAGTCTTTGTAGACGGAAAATTTATAATTTGAATCGAATGTATACTGAGTTCCCAATATTGATCTTAATATATCCATTCTCTACTCTAAATAATATTATGTAAATATACAGTGAGTTGTCGGAATAAACCAAGTTATAGCGCCCAGACCTTGACATTATATCCTACAAGGCTATAATGTTTTTTTTAACGTTATACTCGTATCATGTTTCATATGCATTATTTGTTATTTAGAGAGAAGGCTTTGGTATGTTTGTTTTTTACAAGTACTTTATAAGTTTTCATTTATAAAGTTCCAGAGCTTACTCTATATAAAATATGAGTTATGATATATAAACTAATAATTATGCATAAAAAATTAATATATAACATAGTCGTTGAATCAAGAAGTGAAAAATTTTATTAAGTCTTTATTTAGTTTGTTTATTTGGTCCATGCTCCTTTAAGGAGCTTAAGGTTTTACAGATCCAACTGAGCTGCAGCTGTACATGTTAACTGATCGTACTTTGTCGACTAATTTTTTTTCATAATATATACAATATTTTGTCAATATCTTAAAAATGCAACATGCAAAGTAACTTTCTATACATAAGGATCCATTCAGGAGAATACTTTCTTTCAAGCGATATTAGTTTAAATCGGTGTCGATTAATACTACATTTTCTGTCAAGTAATATATGGTAATTTATACTGCAACGGTCTATAATAAAGCAGTCTTCATAAATAATTTGTATATGCATACAAAGCAACTATGAGGTACACTTTTGTCTCAGTCTTACAGATTTTCGAAACAATAAAAAAAAAATAACATTTGGAGTAAGTTAGTTGAAGTTAGTAAGTGGATGGAGAGTAACGAATTCTTTTCAATTAGCTAAGAAAGCCGTTTTGATTCCACAATTTCTCGTAATAATGCATAAAAGTATGGTCAAGCTGAGCTTCGAACCGGAACCGAACCAAAAACCATAAAACCGATATTTTTGTGGGAGCGAAAACTGGAACCTAAACGACATATTTTTTTTTGTTTTGAACCGGAACAAAAACCGGAACTGATAAAATTCCGGTTCGAAGTTCTGTGTTCAAGTAAGAACGTTTCCCTAAGTCCAACTAATCGAAATCATAATTAGTTGTTTATGTCATAACTGCTTAAAAAATACCCTATATCAATATTTTCCAATATGGAGCGAATGTTTCTTAGCAATATTTTATCTCTTTTGGAGTTATTCCAGTTTATCTGAAATTTCGAGACGTCGGAAATGTATTCATGTTAGTTTCCTCAAAATGTATTTCACTTATTCTTCATTGATATATATAAAAATATACATTTAGATATATATTATATTAATTATATATATCGTTGTTATTACTATATCATTACTATATATATATTATATATAATTATAATGATAATATCATGGAGTATTAATTTTGTAAAAAATTGATAAAAGCTGTAATTAGTTTCTTATTGAACCTAACAAACTACAAAAAAAAAATGAACTAATCTACTAAGTTTAGAAAAGAAGCAGAGAGAAAACGGACACATAATATCTGGTGCCTGACTTCGTACTTGGTAGTGATATTCCCAATATTCGTTCAGAGAGAATTGAAGACTACAAAGGGCTAATCAAAACCTATGTAACCTATGTAATCTGCACATTACTATAAGATTAAACAATAATTATAAAAAAATTATTGTCTATAGCTTATTTAAGCTTAAGAATTTTTTATTCTTTACAAAACTTAAGTCAATATAGGTACTATATATTACTATATATATATATATATATCCAAACTAAAATTTATAATTTGAAAATGGCAATTATAATTAACTATAAATAAATATCAGAATATTAATTTAAGTGATATATGAAAAGTGCGACAGATGTAATGATTCAAGTAGATGGTTTTAAATTATTCAATTAGTATTATTTTTACTGGCAAGGCGAACTTTTATGAGAGAATAATTATTATCTTTTTATTTTTTCCATTATTAAAATTTTTTTTGAACAGAAAAACTAATAAAAAAAATAATTTAGTTATCAATTTGCAATCAAGTTAACATATTTCCATTTCCTAACAAGGCCATAGTTGAGGTAGGTGCTGTTTTTCTTATTCCCCGACAGAGATACTGCGAAAAGAGTCATTTCATTGTAATTTTTGGGTAGATAAAATATTTAACAAATCCAAAAAAATTAAAATAAACTTGTGATGAATTTTATGTTCTACAAATCTGGAGATAATTATCGTTAAGATTAATAACTGGGACCGCAGATATTAAAAAAATTTTCTGTTAATATGAAATATATACATAATATATATTATATATTGTTTTATATTATATATAATAATATATATATATAATTATGTAATAATATATATATATATTGTATTAATATACATATAATATATATATATATATATATATATATATATATATATATATATATATATATATATATATATATATATATTTCGGTAAATCCCTTATACCAAGTGCTGCCTTATTTGATGAAATGAAAAAGTTGACGACATCTTCGTCTGGAATATTTTATAATAAAAACTGCCTGCCTTTTATATGAATTTTTCCTTGTTCATTGGATTATGAAGACAATGATTACCGCAGTTAATTTTACTATTAAAAGCAACTTAGCGAATGTTAGTTATTTCCTGAGTAAAGAATTTCTTTGGTTCTTTGGGTTTTATATGGAAAACTGGTATTTAGAGTTATACTTCAGGCAACTGAATTAGATTTTTGTGATAATTTTTAAGATTTTGGTAGTATTTCAAATCATACAATGGACATATTATAACTTACGTGGTTAACTATTAGATATTAAATGGATTCATTAAAACTATGTGTACTTTATATTGCTATAGAGATTTCTGTTGAGTTTAAATTTTTATATATATATAATAAAGAGGTTTATCGAACAGTAGTGAATTACAACAACAAAAATTCGTTTTATATTATTTTAATTAATTGAATTATTGGGTGACCATACAGCTGCTTCGACTTTTGCCGAATACCCACCATTTAATTATGTATAAATAATTTTTTAAGACTGCAAGTACCAGGAATCGAATTCATGCCCTGCCAAATTTCAAGTTCAGAGTCGGCGCTCCTTAACCAATTGACCCAAAGCCGTACTTGATTGACTTTAATGTTCGCACATTTTTCTGGAGTTTTGTTAATTTGCTGTGAAAGTCTTTTTTTTTAATTGTTAAATTTCAATACTATTATGTTTGTATATATAATATTAATTAATTAAATCCTTTTTAACTTTAAGTAGTAATTATAAAAACAATGGCCGGTTCTCTTCTTTATACAATGGAACTTTTCACAAATGAATTATTTTCATTATAAGTGATTGGAATTTTATTCATGTAAACTCAATTAATTATTATTTCCTCTGATTAATTTCCTAATAATTTTGCAATACACCATGACGAAGGGGATTTGTGTTAATTTTTAATGCCATCCATCGCATTTTACGTCATTGCCACTAAGCAGTTAGAACAAAATACTCTGTATTTATATCTACAATAAATTTTTATCTATGTTAATTGCCAACAAACCAATTAAAAAAGTTAAAAAGTTGTTCCCCAGTTAGTGAGTCAGAGTCTTGGGTTGGAGCTGCGTAGAAATAGACTTTAGCCCCTCCATTTACGACGCCGCAAGATTTGATTGAAAGTACGTGCAAAGAGTGGCGAAGTGCTCGTACTCGTGTACTTGACGCAATTTCTGAAAATATTTTTATGAATTAAATTAGGCAAGAAGCTTATAATTTTTATTATTCAAATTTATTTCGTTTTTATCATTTAATTTTTTGTAATTTTTTCTTATTCGATATTTTCAGCCAATTATAACCCCGAAGAAGATGAGGATTACATTGCGTCGCAGAAGAACGGTGGCGTGATCGCGCACATAGAAGCGGCCGACAATAACAATTTGACAGTACCACCTATTTGCGATCAACCGCTCCGACGTGGTAATTCGGCGTTTTTAAGGTATAATTATTACAATAATTAAGCGTAAAAATGTTTGTTTTTTCTGGTACCTCAAATGGTTCACACGTCTCTGCACTAAACAAACCCACATGAAAAGATACGAATTTGATAAAAGCAAGCAGAACTGAAAAAAAATTATCAAAAAAATAAATAAAAATTGGAAAGAGAAAAAAAATTCGAAGAAAAGCATTAGAGAAAAAAGAAATGACTTAACTTCTTCTGACAATCGAATAATAATTCTATTTATTTTCTTACACGCTACACCAATAAATAAAGTCAGTTCAGTTCATATGTAAGTTTGTGTCAACTTAAGCCAACATAAGAATATGAGAGCATTAGGTATATATCGTTTATAATATTACAGATATTGGAGATATTAGAGATAGCGAAGAATTCTGCATGTCAAAAAAAATAGACTCTGAACTAGTCCTGAGATTCAATTTTGAAATACCAAAGGATTTCACCTACTATCTTAGATTAATTACTATTAGCAAATAGTACCTGTTATTTAAATAGATTGATAAATTATTCAAGTATATTAAATTCTCTGCCTCAAATAATGTTATAACTCAAAAACTCTGAAACTTTAAAAACATACAGTTAGGAATAATTGTTAAAAAAATTCCTATTAATCAGTAAAACTATTTGGAATTTTCTAATAAATTTATGAAAAATTTTTTAATATATAAATAATTTGTAGCATTAATGAAGAGCTGGTTCATTCCTACAGTTACAATAAGGTATCCTTCCTCAGCAGAACAGAATTGAGGTTGCTGGTGAGATATTTAACAAATCACCATGGACTACGTTATCTCCTTAGCAAAATGGGTCTGTTCGAAGAGATAGATTGTCGAGTCTGCATAGAAGCAGAGAAAACTTGCAGTCACATTCTCCAGCCTCGATCTGGGCCGGGAGAAGGTCACAGGGTCGAGAACAACTCTCCCTTTCTGTCATTAGAAGACTGTTAGGAATATTACGGGACGCGGCCCGTTGGGAGGACAGCGCCCTTTGGTACTCTAGACCAAAGGGAGAAAAGAAAGCACCAATACACCTTCTGTTACAGTGCCCTGGTTTCGCAAGACATAGACTTTCTTATTTAGGGTTTCAGTTTTTCAATTTGTCTCAATAGGCTTTGTGGCCAGTACTAAATGGTTATAGTGGAAGGTGTTGAATTCTTAAGGGTATCATAATGATCTAAGTGCATCTTTGGACGGCCTCAGTAACCAAACCTAATCTGAACTATTATCAGTGCTGAAAAAAAGTATTCTTTATAACATTGAAGCCATTGCTTCATGTCGAACAAGAAACTTTCGGCACGAAGGTGTCTATTTAGTACCAAAAAGTTGAAAAATTATTTATAATTTCCGAATGAATATTAAAAAATATAGACTATATCGAATTATTCACAAATTTTTAATTTTATTAATGAGCTCTCATTTTGAATTTATGTACTTCTTTTAATTTTAGTGATAAAATACATGAAGAAGATTTTCGCCGCGAAACACAGACCAATGTTCCCATGTTAGGTCCAGAAACGCTTGCAGTATTCGCAAATTCGCAAATATTTCAGGATCATCCACAGGCCAAAATCAATCGCAGCAGCACGAAAAGCTTCTTGGTCGGCGTACACTCGCCAAAAGAACGACCTTCGACTCCAAAGGAAACTGATCAGGAACGTTTATTGAGGCGTCTGGAAGGTAATGATGATGAGGTGTATGGTAAAAGTTCTAGTGGCGGTCGTACTGGTTATACGCCCACTCAAACCAAAGTTAAATTCTATATCAACTAAGTACTCTGTTGCACATATACTAGGTTTAAGTAATGCTTAAATACTTAAAAAATAAGTAATTCTTTTTCAGTAATTAGTAATTAACTTATATGTATGTATGTACTCTAGTTAGTGCGCAATGCAATGCAAAAATAGAGTCGGCATTGCGGCACAACGTTGCACAGTACAGTAACGAATATTTTTATAATTAATTGTGTGTGAAATTGAAGTTGTAGAAAAAAATATTTACAAAAATTTAAAAAAAAAAGAAAAAGAAAAAAATTTTACTAACTTTTAGTAGAGATTGAAGTATTAAAACCAAAGAATGACTAAATTTATTGTGAATGCTGTAGTTTTTAGTTTAACTGAATTTAAATTAAGGCAATTATTTTTACATCATAAAACATAAAAAAAAATTATTACACCTCAACAAAAAACAAAATTTAACATCTAAAATGTCAAAAATAATAAAATTTAAAATTAACAAGTTATTTTTGTAAGTGTAGTGGAAATATTGCAAAAAACTAAAAATCACAGACAGCAGCACTGCTGCTCTCCGAAATGGTCACCTACTTTTTATCCACTGCGGGTACAGTATTAAAAGTTGGTTTCGATGGAGTTGATTGCTAGTGCTTGGGTCTCGACTTTATCTGCACTTTACGATTATTTGTGGTTAATAAAAATTTGAATTGCGTTCTTCACAAACATTTTTTGTGCTTTTATCGTTTAATTAAGTAAAAGTTTAAATAGTTGCAGTCAATAGAATTTGAAGGTTAAATCAGATTTACTTACCAAAATAAAAGTCCGAAAATAAATCTATTGAAAGGCCTTTAAAGCGGACAGACCTGCTTTGCGGTTTTGTCTATATTTAGAAATCAGAAAATTGTGCTCGTAAATCAGTTTCAGTTCAACTGATAAATTACATAAATCGTCTGATAACGAAATTCTTAATGCTTTTGTTTTTATTCCTACTTCTTAGTGCTTTCAAAACGTCCAGAAGTCTTATGGAGTGAACATGGCTTCTGTTTTTAATAAAATTTCTTATCAGAGAGGTATTAAATTATGTCACAATCATTTAAGGTTTGGTAGGTGTGTTTTGTTCAGAAAGCAATTGAGGTCGTAATAGGTGACAAAAAAAAAAAATAAAATTTTTAATTATTATTGAGAAATAATCCGGTAAACGATTATTATCTGCTGTACTTAAAAAAACTTATTGTCAAATTAATAACTTGAAATAGCGACTTACGAGAATGATAAAGTCAATTATCGTCTTTAAAATATTTTTCAATCAGGTTGAGATACGTTAATATAAAGTAATTCTGCACATATTTTCATACCAAAGCCTTAAAACGTCGTATAGGCAACATAACTGAATGTGCTTTAAAGTCAAAATTAATTAAAAGTTGTTTTTATTCAATGTCTTCGAACATATGACCTATATGACTTATTCTTTAATTATGCCTCAAAAATTATGAAGTAACTTTTTTACGTACTCTCTATTTATACCTAAAATTTCTTTCCTCATATGTTGAGCCTTTTTCAAGTTAGTACATCTGGGCGCTTTTACTCTTTCATAACTGAGGGAGTTCCTACAGAGTCCTGCCCTTCTTACTGACTAATTCATGTATTCCTCAAAAGCTTCTTGATTATTCGACGACTGATCTAAGATCTGCGTACCGACCCGTGCGGCTAGTGATTACTCTGAGATTAGAAATTGCTACGTAGGGCAGCCTATCGGTTTTTGCGAATAGTTTGAGGGCTCTGCCCATTATATACTTTTTTTCTTTCGTAGCCATCAATAAGTATATTCCTGTTACCATGGTTTTCCATTTTTGTAATTGGTGTCCTGATTAATCGTTTCAATACTACAACTCGACTCATAGATCTTTTAACAATATATCACACAAAAAAGCAACCTTTTAATTTATTGATGCCATTGATGTCATGTCAACATTAAATATTCCTTCTAAAGCGCGGTGTAGACTTGCAGCTTTGAATGTCATTCAAGAGAGAAAATTCAAGATTGACAGTCAAAACTGCAAGTCTGCACCATTGAATGACACTCAACCAATATGTTGGCATGCTCACAAAAATTTTGATGAGCACAACAATCAGCTTCTCGCCAATATGTTGTGCATGATAGTCTATCATCTAAAAATTTTTATTCCGTTAGTCAATAGCATATTTTTGCGTGGTTACACAAACACACTTACAGCGTACGCAAACACCCTTATGCTTGCTTGACTGTGAACATGTTCAAGTTCGGTCGATTTTATTTTTTCGAGTGTTTGTTGAGCTGCTGAGCCTAGTTTTCGAGATGACACTCAAAAATGCTATTCAGACACTTTCTTATATTAAGGCAATTTATGACATTACCTTTGGTTACTATTTTTTCATTTATCTCTGTTGAATAATTCAGCAAGTATTATGGTAGAAAGAAAAAAATAGAAATCCACACATGTTTAAAAAAATTAGAAAAGTCTTATTTTAGACTTGTTTTTAGTATGTGTTTAGACTTTCAGTTTCTATCAGTGAAGTATCTTCAGTGAAGTATCTTCTACGTTCCTAGAATTGAAGAATAGATAATAAGATATTACTATTTAAAAATTAATCTAAAATGGAAATTTTTAAAAATTCCATAGGCACCGTAAAAATTTTTTCTCTAGGACGCGGGTATTTTTGTTTTAAAAAAGAAGTTTTTAAAAAAATTTTTTTACTAAATCGGTCAAAATCTGTTCCGCTTTTAGAGAAATAATCCATATACATTTATATATGATTCAATATTTACATGATTTTAAATCATTTTTACTAAATACTATTACTTCTTGTATTTGTTATTTTTAGATATTTCAGTTAACTATTTAGTAATTTAGGTTGACTCTTAGTTTTTGATTTTCAACTCAGTCTTTCAATAGAGTTTTTACCATTAACGTTTGGCATTTCTAACTTCTATAAATATTAACTTAAAACTTTCTAGAAAATAATCCTTCTAGACTTGTTATAGTTACAGTAATCATTTATACACGTCATTAAATTGTGAAGACAAAGTATGTGTAATATCTCTTCCATTATTCACCAGAACCATGTTTTAATGGACCAGTCATATGCATACTTATATCAATTGTATCAGAGCAAGGAATTGTGTAAAGTCGTATAGTGAACGGGAATATTAAAATATATATGCGTATGCCAAAACTATTATGCAACAGTAACAGCTGTTCTGCGGTTCGAATAACTAATTGATCCACTGCATACCCATTGTGGGTGTAAACTAATATAATCTATGGTGAGCATACAATTGGAATCCATTCTCAAAATATTGATCTGTTAACTCTATTCTGCTCACTCACATTTTGAAATTAACATGGGTCGTCATGTAACAGCAGTTTTGCAATTCGAATAACTAATTGATCCACTCTAAACCCATCGTGGGTTTAAATTAACATAATCATTGCAAAGCATACGATCAGAATCAGTTCTTAAAATTGCCAACTGTTAAGTCTATTCTACTCACTCATATTTTAAAATTAACATGGTTCGTCATGTAAGAGCTGTTCTGCGGTTCGAATTACTAATTGATCCACTGTATAACCATCGTGGGTTTAAACTGACATAATCATTGGTGAGCATACAATCAGAATCCATTCTTAAAATATTGATCTGTTTAGATTATTCTGCTCACTCATATTTTGAAATTGACATGGCTTGGCAAACTGATAAGATTGTTCACAAATTATAAATTTCCTTATATCTCTCCGTAAATATTTTGTTTTATTTTTATCATAAAGTCGATATACTTCTAATTACCCAAACTGGGCACCATTATCACTATAAAGAATTGACCAATTTGTTGCTGACTTTTATCTTTTTCCGCTTTACGTTTTTATTATACGTACTTAAAATGTTACGTTAGCACTTTTTTATCAGTCTAAACTTACCAAATACTATTTTGAGTAATAATATTATTTATAATTTATTGAAGAAAGAAATGTTCCTGAGTCATTTGATAATACTATATACATGTATATATTTTGAACTACTCTTCTACATGGTTTTTTATTCCACTTTTTGTGTTATATGTAGAAAGATTGCGTGGAAATTTATTCAGTTGCTTGTGCTTCACCCAATCACTTTTATGGCAGATACTTAAATAATGAATTTGTGATAGAAAAATAATTTTGTAAACTAAAATATGGTATAAAATGTTTTTAGTGCTTCACAAATTATTTATTCTATTCACGCTGCTAAATAATCCGAATAGAATATGAAAAGAATATGAATATGAATGAAATATGAAAAGATTTAAGTTTTTGATCATCATTAATAATTTCAAACAAAGTATATTTATATATAATAGAAAACTCATTTCTTTTCAATTCCATATTATCACAAATCAAATAAATCCATTAATGTAAAATTTCTAAGTCTCTCAAACCTTAAAAGATGATTTCTCGGTATGATCACGTTTTCTTGGGAACGTAAATTTGATGACAGATTTAAGTAAACACAGTTAATTTCAGCTATTTTTTCCCTTGTTAATCCGAGGTTTTATAATTATTGAACAATCTGATGTGAACACAACTTATAGGAAACAAATAATACCCATGCTCTGATATCCATTCCTGTCTGGTTGTGTTTTCATCCTAAGGTTAGGGTTTAATCCACTTTTGCTTTTCTATGAAGTCCAGTATATCTTCCACTGATACTAAAAAAATTAGTATTTTTAAAGAGTTTAACTCTGCATACTAGTGCGTAGTAACAGTATCGAATAGCGTGAGGGCTTCATCCATGATGAATATTTTGTGTATATCCGAATTTCTTGCATATCGCGGGGCTTTTACCAGTCTTCTTAGAATTATGTTTTGTTATGATTAAATTTTATTCCTCGGTTTATTAAGTAAATTTATTAAGTAGATTAAGTAAACTTAA